GGTCGTCTTCTCTTTTGTTTATTTTGTTATCTTAATTGGTGCCTCAGGCACCATAACTAAACTGCAAACTTATGTAAACTTTGGCCCGTTATGGCCTTGTTTTGCTCGTTATGTCTTTTCCTTACTTTGCTCGCACAGTTTTCTCTTTCTTTATCTGCGCCGTTTGGCCTCTGAGTTGAATTTTGACGAACCCTCGACTATCTTGCTTTTGACTTAGTCGTTTTAGGCTCTTGCTTTGTCCTCTGGTTCTCATAGCGTGGGATCGGGTCAGCTCCGATCTTCGTGTTGTAGCTTCCATGGGATTGAGAGGGTAGTACTTGGCTTGCAGTGGAGAACAATCGCTTGTCCCTGCGGCCAACTGGAGAATTTCAACTTCAACTCGCCTCTTGGCGAGTTGTTGCCTGGGGAATCGACAGACAGGTCGTCCGCCGAATGTGACAATTGATTGTGGTAGGAGTCACCGCCTGGTAGACTCTACCCATCAGTCATCCTAAAGCAATGCTAGGACATCTGGAATAGGTCAAATAGTTCAGGGACGTAGGAGTGTGACTACTGACAGAAGTAATAGCACGTCGCATGGTTGGCCATTACTTAGGCTGTGCTATTCATAAGGATAACGGCGCCAATCATCAGAGGTGATCATTAACTTGATGAGGTCTTGTCGCGATTGGAGCGACTATGGGGGCCTACCATTCTTCGAAAGAGGATTGGTAAGTAGATTGTGTCAGAGGTTTAATGTTAACGTGACAGGGGATGTCGTGATTGGAACGACTTTGAGGACCCACCATCCTTTAGAAGAGGATTGGTAAGTAGATTGTGTCAGAGGTTTAATGTTAACGTGACAGGGAACGTCGTGATTAGAACGACTTTGGTGGATCCGCCATCTCATTGGAAAAGATAGGCGAATTGAGTTTGTTTGTCGTGATGTGAACGACTTTAGTGGATCCGCCATCTTATTGGAAAAGATAGACGAATTGAGTTCCAACAGAGGCTTTCGCCAGAGCGGGTAAAGTAGGAACAGTTTAGCCTCGTGTACCAGTTGGAGGGTGTGAGGGCCAGTTTAGACTCTTGTACTCGTGGGAGTTGGTGAAGGAGAACTAGGGGTAGTACTTCTTCAGATACTTGCCGTTGATGGGCATCATGATCTTATCGCCATTCGGTTTGACGAGGCGATAGGCGCCGTTCGAGTAGACTGTCTCTACCACGAATGGTCCTTCCCATTTGGACTGGAATTTCCCCTTCTTCTTGAAAGTGAGGATCATTGGTCGGCGAACGGAGAGCACGAGCTCTCCCTCTTTGAAGGCTCGGCGCTTGACTTTCTTGTCGAAGCTCCTGGCCATCCGAGCTTGGTAAAACTCAATGTGCTGCTGAGCTTCCAGTCGCTTGTCGTCCAGTGCTTCGAGCTCTGCGAGTCGAAGTTGGTGATTCTCCTCAGTCGTCATCCCTGTTGCTAGGGCGACGCGGAGGGATGGAATCTGAATCTCTAATGGCAATACAGCTTCACAGCCGTATACCAACGAGTAAGGCGTGGTGCCAGTCGGTGTACGAACCGTCGTGCGATATGCCCACAGGCTCTCGCCTAGCTTTTCATCCCAGTCGCGCTTGCTAGTGGAAGTCAGCTTGGTCAAGATCTTGATGATCGTCTTGTTGAAAGCTTCGGCCAGACCATTCGCTGAAGGGTTGTAGGCCGTGGACGAGAGGTTCTGTATCCGGAATTTGTCGCAGAACGAATTGCGTGCCATTGTCGTGAATGATACGCCGGGGTACGCCGTATCGGTAGATGACATGGTGCTTGATGAATTTGATCACGTCGCTAGTCTTGACTTCTCTTAAGGGGATGGCTTCTGCCCATTTAGAGAAATAGTCGGTGATCGCGAGGATGAAGCGATGGCCTCTCGCCGATGGTGGAGAAATTGGCCCGACTATGTCCATCCCCCATGCTTCGAAGGGCCAAGACGCCCTCGTCGGATGCAGATCCTCAGGAGGCTGGTGCACGTAGTTGGCGTGGATTTGGCATTTGTAGCATCGCTTCGCATAAGCGACTGCGTCAGTAACCATCCCAGGCCAAAA